ATCTTGCAATAGATTTTATATAGGTAGTACAAGAAATCTGTTGCTTGCATTTTTAAAATTCACAAAGTATACCTCTGGTTTCAAGTGATAGGCAGATGGTTTTTATGATAAAAAGCGAGGCAGTTGGATCATAAGTCTTTAGGTACTTTGTAGTTTATGACATCAGTAGCTAGTAGTTTGTAACTGCACAAAACCTCATTTTCCTGTTTGTCTATGTCATTGTGGTGTGCCACCATGTTGACTTGGGTTCACTGTGGCACTAAGTGATGACTACAATTGACCCAGAAGGTGTGCCAGACTGAAATCTTTTGGGGAGCGGTTCCCCAGGAACTTCTCTCTGGGAGGGGCTGGTGGGTTCAAAAGGTCACCTCTTGACTTAGCAGCTGAGTGCCTCATCTTTGCTCCACCATGGCTGCTTGGGTTGTGTGAAGTGATAATAAAAATACCAACTGTGCCAGGGAGTTCATATTAGTATTATAGAGAAAGGGGATTATTGTGAAGATTAAATGAGAAAACATCTCGAAAGTATATATGGTACCATGATTGACATATGGTAAATTCAATGGAAATTAAAGCTACTCTAATTATAAATTTTTAAAAACATTTCATAGAAACAGCAATCTAGACAACAGGATTTCATGACAACTCACAAAGCTAACTTAGCACATATGTACCTGAACGCATTACAAAAGTCTATGAAAGATAAATTACTACTTTGGTTTTCTTGATGACAGCAGTTTACATTTGAAAAGCAAAGGGTGGAAAATGTTTATCAAAGTAAATCAGTTTCTACAGAAAACAGGTTAAGGGTATACAAAAGAAACTATTGCTACTGTTAGACCATTTTGCGTCAGTTCTGACTGATGGCACAACAGAATCCAACAATGCTCAGTCCTGTACCATGCTCATAATCATTGTTGGCATGCTCGTTGATGCAATTCACCAACCTGAAGATAATTTAAAAGTGGTTGCTGCAGTGCATCCATAGGAAACTGCCACAAATATAAGCTAGATTCAGAACAGGCTGTGTACTAAAGGATATTATTGTTGATATCAATTGGATCTTGATAGTAAAATTTTGTGTCACCTTGGCTGGACCTATTCTCAGAGATCTGGAAGCTTAAGAACAAGTAATTCCCAATGATGAGCTCACATACAGACCCTGCAGAAAAAGTTGTTGGCTTCTTGCTGGGTCTTGATTTTGCATCTGACTAGCTGGCTCTTTTTCTTTTTAGAACTTGAGCCAAACTACTTACCATCTTGCCTGCCAATCCTGTGAGTCTTCAGCAGGCTGCCATGCCACATTAACTACTGATCATGGCTTCATTTGCCTCTGCAGCCACAAACCTGTCATTTTCTTGCCAATCATGAGGTCATCAGCCCCCATCGCTACTCAAGTCCAGAAAAGATTCCAACCAAAGACCTGGCCCAAGGACTTGGAACTTGCCTGCTTTAACAACTATGTGAGCCACTTTGTTGATATAAATATTTCCCTGTACATACATATATAAGCTTCAGTAGTTTTGCTTCTCTAGAGAACCCAGGCCAAGATCACCAGAAAGATGCTCGCTCGCATTTCATTGACTAAGCAAAGGCATCTATTGTGTGGATCATAGCAAATGACAGATAATCTTGGGAAGAACACCTTATTGTGCTCAAACAGAACCTGTACATAAACCAAGAGGCATTTGATTGAACAGACAAAAGGCATAGTGTATAGTTTCAAATCAAGAAAAGTACGTATCAGGTTTGCATTCTTTATCATGCTTATTTGACCTGTATGCTGGGCAAATCATCCCAGAAACTAGACTATCTGAGGAAAGGCATGTCATCGTGACTGGAGGAAGACTCGTGCACAGCCTGTGATATGCAGATGACACAGAAGAAAGATAAAGGAAAATATATTAATGGGATTAGGGTTAATGTTTTGGCAACTATTGGCTACTGTGGCAGCAATCATACAGCCTGAAGTTTTCATGATGATTTACTCCACTCATGATTATCAGTAAGCATACCATTTGTACTGTTGTAGGTATAATTATTTAAAAGCATATTTGGAAACTTTTCACACTTTGTGACTAGAATCTAGAAATGGGGTCAATGAGTGAGGAATATGTTTCTAATAGGGTACATTTATTTACAATGAAACATGTATCCATATATTTTGCTATTCATTTTCTGTTTGGACTGGGTCAACAAATTACACATATTTTTACTGGTTTGAAGTTCTTTACATATTAGTTATGAACTTGCTTTGTCCCTTTAATGAGATATGCTATCCAACCCAAAGTTTATTTAAAATTTCCTTTTCCTAAGTGTATATTTCATTTTTATGAGTTAATATATAATAATAACCTCTTTTGGACATTTTAACCCTTTCATCAATTTAATATGTCCCTACCTTCTTGATAAATAATGAACTTGTGGGGCGGGGGAGAGAAGGAAAAAAAAAGAGGAGTTTATACCAAGGGCTCAAGTAAAATGAAAATGTGTTAGAAATGTCAATGGCAATGTATGTACAAGTGTGCTTGATGGAGTATCATAAGATTTGTAAGAGCCCCTCAATAAAATGATAAAAAAGATAATGAAATTGTGTTGTAGTTTCATGGGTTTACAACCATAGAGTTTAAATCTGATAAAAATCTGACATGGAAGTTTTTCATGTAAAATATAGGTGAGACAGACAAATCTCCAAGTACTCAGACCAGAGTACTCCTTCCAGACAAGGATGGTAAGACTTCATTTAATATATTTTGGACATAACTTCAGGAGAGATCAGTCCCTGGAGAAGGACATCATGTCCCTAGAGTAGAGGGGCGGCGAAAAAGAGGAAGGCCCTTAAGGAGATGACACCATGGCTGCATCAATGGGCTCAGACATAGGAACAGCTGTGGGGAGGGCACAGGACCGTGCAGTGATTTATTCTGTTGTGCGTAGGGGTCACTATCGTAGGGGTCACTATGGGCTGGAGCCGAGTTGATAGCATTTTGTGATCAACCCTTCCAGCCCTATATATGGAGCAGATATCATCTTTCCAAATCAACTCCATGGCCAATGAGTTGATTCTGAATTTTAGTGACGCTCTAGGTCATATACAACCACTCGCTAGGGGTTCTCTGGGTATAAATCTAATGAGGGAAGGTGAGTTCTCTTTCTCCTGAGGAGCAAGAGAACTTGTGATTTGCAGCCCAACATCTAACCCACAGTGTCCCGGGGAACCTAACCCTTCTTTAGACATGGGTTTATGATGCTGAGGAAACCTTAGGCTGCTAACCATAATGTAAGAAATTCAAACCCAGCAGCTATTGTTCTGGAGAGAGATGATGCCGTCTGAACCCATAAAAATTTCCACCTTGAAAACCCTATGTAGTGTCACTATGGGCCGGAATGGATTCAATGGCAGCAAGAGTGAGGGATGGTCAGAACTAACCCATGGCAGCAAGTTGGGTACATATCACACATCACACTCTGATGGGCAAGGAAGCTAGGATGTGCCTGGGTGGGACACAAGCTTCAGTGCTCAACGATTCGCTGAAAGGTTGGCAGTTTGAACTTACCCAGAGGTAACTCCAAAGATAAACCTGACTTTCTGCTCCCACGAGGTCCTAAAACCCTACAGAAAAGTTCTCTCTGTACCTATGAGGCTGACATGAGTCAGACCTGACTTGATGGTAACTAACAAGAACGTAAAGTCTTTTAAAGGAAAGTTCTCCATAGGGAACTCTCATTTGA